TAGCATGATAGGTCCACTTTAATTATTATTATTATATATATATATATATTTTTTTTTTACATGTAAATATACATTTTCTTTCCCCACTACTTTTTGTTGTCATAATTTTTGCTGGATTTTTCTTAAAGGTGGGGTAGGTAAGTTTGAGAAACCGGCTCGAGATACACTTTTTGTTATATTCCATGGAATGCTCTTAACATCCCGATAGCAATGAATATCTGAAGTGCTTTGACAAAAGATCCATACAAAAATGTCATCTGTGTGAAGCCGTAGTACTGTAAAAAGCACGACCAATCATTTTAGCCGGCCCGGCTAAAATAACTGGATGGCCTACCTGCCTGTCAGCCTTCCATCTGTGCACAAACTTATCTCATGCCCTCATTGGTCATGTGCGCGTTCGTGTGTGTTGGAGGAGGGGCTCTGTAAGGAAGTGGCAGATTTTTTCCGGTTGTGTATTTTCAAATTCTAGCGCACTCGAGCTGGTTTCTCCAAAATTACCTACCCCACCTATAATTATGTTTAGATTTCCTTTTTTATACATCAATTTCTTTTATGGTTATCCCTAACTTTTCTCCTTAAGTTTAGGGAAGGTCAGTTGTATGAACCTGTGGCTTCTTGACCTCTCCTGATAGACATATTCTTTTTTCATTATCTGGATTTACGCAGACTTCTATCTGTGCGGTTACATTTTGGATCACATTCTGGTACATTCTGTTTGAATTATTTGTATTATCTTTATTAGAATGTTGCACCTTTACAAGGCAATTTTATTTATATAGCACCTTTCAGCACGCGACAATTCAAAGTGCTTTACAAAATAAAAACAAAAAAGACATTTAAGAATAAATACAGCATAAACACATAATTAAATAAAAAAACAGGCATAAAAAAGCAAAGATAATTAAATGAATAAGCACAGCAGGTACAGAATACATGAATAAAATGCACTGCGGTGTGAGTATGAGCAGCTCAATTAAAAGCAGCGGCAAATAGATATGTTTTTAGTCTGGATTTGAAAATAGGAAGTGTTTCAGCGGACATGCATGATTCGGGCAGTTTGTTCCAGATTGTCGGGGCATAATAACTAAACGCTGCTTTTCCATGTTTAGTTCTTATTCTTGGAACAGAGAGCAGACCCGACCCAGAAGACCTGAGACTCCTGGATGGTTCATAGTTATGTAGGAGATCGTTTATATACCTCGCTCCTAAGCCATTTAGTGATTTAAAAACTAGCAATAGTATTTTAAAATCAATTATTTGGTCGACTGGAAAGACTTCAGAACCGGACTGATGTGATCCACTCTTTTAATGTTAGTGAGGACTCGAGCAGCAGCGTTCTGAATCAGCTGCAGCTTTCTGATGGATTTCTTTGTCAGCCCTGTGAATACACTATTGCAGTAGTCGAGTCTACTGAAGATGAAAGCATGGACAAGTTTCAAGCAAATCCTGTTGCGACATTAGTTTTTTAATCCTAGATATGTTCTTCAGGTGATAGTATGCAGACCTAATAACTGTTGCAATGTGACTGTTAAAATTCAGGGCTGAGTCCATCACTACACCGAGATTTCTAGCTTTATGAGTTACTTTGAAGTCTGCTGACTGAAGCTCTGCGATTACTTTTAAATCGGTCCTTCTTTGCTCCAAAAACAATGATCTCAGTTTTTTGTTTGTTCAATTGGAGAAACTTTTGAGTCATCCAGTCATTGATGTGCTTAATGCACTGCTCAGTGTTCTAATCGGAGAGTAGTCTCTCGGTGTAATTTTAAAATAAATCTGGGTGTCGTCTGCATAGATGTGATAGCTTAGATCGTTGTTTTTAATAATTTGAGCCAGTGGTAGCATATAAATATTAAAAAGCAAAGGTCCTAAGATGGAGCCTTGAGGAACCCCGCATGACATATTTGTCAGGGTTGATTTGTAATTGCCTATTGAGACAAAGTTTGTTCTGTCCTTTAAGTAGGAACTAAAACAGTTTAGAGCTGTTGCTGAAACTCCCACCCAGTTTTCAAGACGGTCTAGCCATATGTTGTGGTCAACAGTATCAAAGGTAGCGCTGAGATCTAATAATAATAACACTGATATTCTGCCACTGTCTGTGTTTAAATGGATGTCATTTAAGACCTTAACAAGAGAAGTCTCAGTGCTGTGGTTTGGTCGAAAGCCCAACTGAAACACATCAAAACTGTCAGTTAAAAACATGAAATTACTCAACTGTTGAAAAACAACTTTTTCAATGAATTTGCTTAAAAAGGGAAGGTTTGATATTGGCCTGTAATTATTCATTACGGTTGCGTCTAGGTTATGCTTTTTAGGAGCGGTTTAATTATTGCAGTTTACAGGGCCTGTGGAAATAGTGGAGAGACTTGTTTACTATGTGTAGTATATCTGAGGCCAAGCAATGAAAAACAGTTTAGAAAAATCCTGTACAAGAGAAGAGACTCAAAAGATGAGGACTCCACAGGACTGGTGTGAAATATACAGAATAATCCACCGACCCGCTGATGATGATGCTGTCGTCGAACAGGTAGACTTTGATGTGCTGGACCCCGATGGTCTCGTTGAAGCGCTGCGGGACGAGCAGCCGCAGCAGCCCCCTCAGGTCGGGGGTGTGGTAAAGAGAGACCCTCATCTGAGAGGTGAAGCGCTGCAGCAGCGGCAGCAGCATGGTCCTGGAGTTGATCTGTCCTGCAGGGAAAACATGAGCACAGCAGGAGGATGAGCGTCGGGTGCTAACCAGAGGAAACACAAGAGATCTGATGAGAGTGAAAACAACCTCTAGAGCCGCGAGTGTAATCCAGCAGCACGGACACCTTGAGGTCGGGGGAATCGCTGTTGTCCTGTGAGCGCTGCAGGGCGTCCTCCATGCAGTCCACCTTCACAGACACAGGGGAAGCATTGAAGAGACATCAGAACATGAGTTAAAGGATAATGCACAGATTTAGCTGCAGACGTATAACACTGTTAAACTCACAATGGACGATTTCAAAGAAAGACATCAAAATCACTGCAGCAAAATATCGTCATTTTCAACTAATGACTTATTATTCTTGGTCAGAAATAGACAGCATGACTTTGAATATACAAAGGGGTTCAACCACCCCTTTTACAACGCGGTCAAAATTAGCACTTACGTGGGGGTCTCAAGTAGGAGAAAAGTAATCGGCAACAATTTTAATGAATAAGCATTTTTAAGTAATTAGTCATGCAAAATACATGAAAATCTTAGTTTTCAACTTCTTAAAATTAGAGTATTGAATACTTTTCTTTTTGAAAATCATTGTAAATATAATATTATTGATATTAATACATTTTATAATTTGTATTTAATTAAGTATGAAGCATAAATCAAGGTAACACACCTACTCTCACAGTTGCCTTATTAATTGATGGATTGAGGACAGTAGTGTTGCAGTCATTTCAAGTGCCTCGGCTCTCTAACTCCTCTCATCTTGTTTACACTTCTCACTCCTTGCCATAGTGAATAAAATATCCCTTTTTTGTGTGCAGATGCGTTTCCTGTGTTGCTGCTATAACACCTGAATTTCCTACGGGAATCAATAAAGATCTATCTCATCTTATCGTATCAGTTGTTACCTTGAAATGAAGCCACGTTTTAGGGCTTAAAGTAAGTAAGATTGGACTGATATAAACGTGAAATTAAAGCAAGCTTCAGACTGTGAAGTCACTTCTTGAACAGTTCTTCCAGATAAGACCACTCAAAGAAACACACAACTCTTATCTGGTCTTCCTTGTTCTTGCCACACTTCCCAGTACTTGAGTATTTGTGAATGTTCCTAGGAGCAGTAGATTATTGATTACTATGGAGCAGACAGTTTATTAATCACTGGCACCCTTTTGTGAGCGAGCGTGGGAAAAGCCATTAGTGCACAAGAGGAAATGCTCTTCAGAGGGCATCACTGGTAGCGAAGTATCTATTAGTGACGAGCTCGGCATTTGTTCCCCACGTTTGACTAAATTGGGCATCTGGTTTCCAAATGCATTTTTTATACGTCACTCTCAGAACCTTGAGGCGATATATCCGACTGTTCTGTAGAAACAAAGGCCTTTGTTGGAGCCATTTATTTTGTAATACTATAACATGTTTTTCCTTGCTGTTTTTGTTTATATTACATTTCAAATTATTTATTGAAATTATTTAAAGGTGGGGTAGGTAATTTTTGAGTAACCAGCTCGAGTGCGCTAGAATTTGAAAATACACAACCGGAAAAAATCTGCCACTTCCTTACAGAGCCACTCCTCCAACACACATGAATGCGCACATGACCAATGAGGGCACGAGATAAGTTTGTGCACAGATGGAAGGCTGACAGGCAGGTAGGCCATCCAGTTACTTTAGCCGGGCCGTCTCAGATGATTGGTCGTGCTTTTTACAGCGCTACGGCTTCACACAGATGAAGTTTTTTTATGGATTTTTTGTCAAAGCACTTCAGATATTCATTGCTATCGGGATGTTAAGAGCATTCCATGGAATATAACAAAAAGTGTATCTCGAGCCGGTTTCTCAAACTTACCTACTCCACCTTTAAGTTAAATTAGAGAAATTGTTCATGCTTTTATTTTGAAGGCAGTTTTGGGCACCTGGTGATAGGCATACCTTGGAGACAGGTGTTGGTGGTGGGATTAGAGCACCAGTGTCAAAGGTCAAAAGGAGAAGTCATTGTTCTACACAAAAGTATATTCTCGCTTGGAAATTGTATTATTATTCCCTGCGTCAGATTTGCTTGTGCCTCAACGGTAGTTTTAGTTTGAGTTAAACTGTGGTTTCATTTCTTTATTTCGCCCCCACAGCCTTTATACAGCTTTCCTAAAGATATGCAGTCAACCTCCCCAGCTTTGCATATGGTGTTCTAAAGATAAAACACACTTTTCTTTAGAATCTCTGATTATTATTGCCTGCGCTTAAAGTCAACACGCAGCAGCGCAGGTGCGAGCTTCAGTATCAGAGGAGTTCATTTTGTGCTGCGCCTGTGATTGGGTGTTGTGTTAGCTCACCTGCCGGTTGCATTCTCCAGGCTCAAACCACAGACTCACATTTCTGCTCTGAATGGAGTTAAGGTCATTGTGTCCAATTACAAGCAAACCTGAGCTCGGAAAACAAAAATCACATGGGCTCACTCACTGTGCCTTATTGACTCCATTTTTCGAGTGATCCATCATCCTGTGAGGTTACGGAGTTTGGCAGCAATCACAGCAGATTTAAAGGCTCTTAACTGTAATTAAACGTGTTTGACTTGTCTGTGTAATTCACCCTCTGATTCTCCAAGCAGATAGAAAAAACAAACATGAAAAACAGCTGAATGTGAGCGTCGGTCCAGACTGTGGTTTGTTCTGGGTTTATGTTGTTATGCGAGGCCTTCCAAGTATGAAGAACAGCGGGATATCACGTGCCAACTCTGGCCTTCTTATATTCATAAACCCTTGCAATTTAAGGGTCATTCCTTGTAGCTGGCCTGGCGTATTTTCCCTCTGAACAAACCACACTGTGCTTCTCCTGGAAGAAAACTGACTCACACTTTCTGGCATCACTGACCAGTTATTTGGCACACGCTTGTGTTTGGATGGCGTTCTTCTCACCTGCCAAAAACTAAAAAGTCTTTAAAGCGCCTCTAAACATGAATCACACACTCGCACACAAACACTGTTTTTCTCACCAGCTCCTGCTCCAGTTGACCCGTTCCCAGATACAGCGAGGCCATCACCACCCGCCTCTTCGCGGTCTTGATGCGCGCCTGAAGGGAAGAAAAACAAACGCCACAATGTACGTGGGTGTCAGAAATCTTGTAACAAATATCTGACAGTAAAACATGATTAATGGTCATACTAAAAGGTCATTTCCTGTATGTCGCATGAACACGCTGTCAGTCTGTATGCACAGGCAAACTAACCACATTCCCTCGGAGCCCCTAGCAACAAGCAAATAACAACAAAACTAAAAACCTTTAAAAAAAAGAGAGAAAAATCCCTTTTTCTTTTTTTTAAACATATTTCTACTAATCCTGGGCTTGATTGTAAACATGTTAGGTGAGCGTTTTGCTGGCTGGTTGTTTTGATCTCAGGCTGATGTGACTTCATTGTATGCGTTTTATTGTGAAATATAGTCTTTAACACCAATTTCCCCATCTTAAAAAATGTTTTCTCTCTTGTCAAATAATAAGATAAACTTAACGTAAATGACATTTGCAAAGAATCTATAGAACAGTAATAATGTCCTGGTTATTTTTAAATAATCCACAATGGACAGTTTTCAATGGGAATGCTTCTTCAATAGAAAGCACTGTGGAGGAATGTTACCAGGAAGATCTGCGAGTTATCAAAAGTAACCAGGATGTTGTTTATCGTAAAGCCACGCCAAACAATTACGTTGATCATATTCTTTGATTAATCTCAAGACCTTGAAAATGACACGAGGAATGAGAATATATTAAAAAATGCGTATCTTATTTTTATAGCGCGTGATTTCTAGTTTTTCAGTTGAAGGCGACAAAAGAAAAAAAAGTGTTCTTTGAGTATTTTTAATATCAGTCACTTTCTTTTTCACGCTCTGGGCGCTACATTTTGCATTGGCTGTCTCCTCACGTAGCATGTCATTATGATGCAGCAAATCATTTGGAAACAATTAGAGATGAACAAGGAAGTGAACAAAACAATGCCATTCAGAATTCCCAGCCGTCATTGGTATGGGGAAATGTTCTTGGAAAATAGTTGACATGTTTTTAAGATTCAAAGCCATAAAAAAATATACAGCTCTGGAAAAGATTAAGACACCTCTGCAGCAATCAATTATTTATCTTTTATTCTATAAACTACAGACAACATTTCTCTCTGTTGGAATTCAACACTGGAATGGAATTGCTGCCATACATGTAGAGATTGAGATTTAAGAAACACTTTGAGTGGTCTCTTCCTTCTTTCTGTATAAGGGTATATGAAGCAGGAACGTAAATATTAAAACATGAATAAAACCCTTGAACAATGTGTTAGCCCGAGGGAAGCTGCAGATTCCTGTTTCTTCGTTCCTGGAGCGGCTGAACGGGCGAACGTTCGAGGAAACATAAAAGGATTCCTATGTGGTGAGTGACACACAGCAGGTGTGGGATTAAGTAATGATATAAAACTCTGTCGCCTCTCTCCTATGATTCACATTTAGTTTGCAGGATGATAAATTTCCGATTTTTGTTTAAAGTTAGAAACACTTAAAGATTATTTTCATCAAACTTGAAATAGATGTTGCTCCAGGGAGGACATTTCAATCTCTGGGAATGGAGCTTTTTATTCCGGTTCATCCAAGGTTGATTCAGGGACATGAGGCCTAGTTTACAATTAAGATTGCAAATAATGATAATTAATGTCCGATGGTTTTCCAAAGAGAAACATCAACATGTAATGTAATGTAATGATCTAATTAACAACAGAGCCTTGTGAAACATCTCATAATATATGAGATTAAAATCACTGAATCTAAATGGCCAATCACATCAATCGACACGATAGGCCAATTGTACAAACTGGTAAACATTATTTTTTCCCACGGACAGTTAAGCCCCGGAAAATGTAAACTTCATATATTTGTTTTTATTGTTAATTTATCAAATCATCGATGAATTTGTGTGAATTGCAGATTGTTGGAGACAGCGAAAGACTTTCAATCCCTGATGAAGGCTTAATATTGAAACATGTTAACGTTTTTTTTTTTATGTCCAAAAACAAGACCTACTACATGAACAAAGGAAGGTCTGTGGATTAGCATGGGTAACCTGTCATGATATATTTGGGGCGCCGCATGCTGAGTGCCATCTAGTGTCATCATACATGTTGATTTGTGTGAACTGTCCCTTTAAGCTTTCAAGTGGATTATATATTTAGCACCTATTAGTTGCAACGTTAAGGTGACAGGTCTTTTTAGAGCCAAACTATTAACTGCCAACTCGGCCACTGCAGAGAAAACAATCAGTCTGCCGGGGAGAAAATACTTCCTTAAGCACACTCACATTCCTCAAGCACTTTCTCCCTTTGTTACGCCACATGATGATATTGAACATCTGTGCAACAACAATACTGGTAGTTGTTCAGTTAAGCTCTGTTTTCATTGCTTTGCAGCTGAACCAAAATGGTAACTTCTTGGTATCACCGACCTTCATAGTCTTGTAGAACTGGTCAGGCGAGGTGAGGATGTGGATGTGGGTTCCCGGCACCCGAAAGGCAGGTACGTGCTCTGCCATCCATCGGAAGTGGCCGAAGAGTCCCTCTGTGCCCTGAACTCCGGCGGACCCCGCGGGCCTGGAGACCAGTCGGGGGGCCGGGTCGGCTTCGGCCAGGAGGGGGGCCAGCAGCAGCACCGAGGACCTGCAGGGAACAAGGGTGAGGAGTTGATTTGCCAATATCTGGATTTTAAGTACCATACAAGACATCGGAATAATTGGTGAGTACTTTTTAAAGAGGACATATTTTGCTCATTTTCAGGTTTCATATTGTATTCTGTGCCTCTACTGTGACATGTTTATATGCTCTAATGTTCAAAAAGCTCATACTCATACTCTCATACTGCAGCACCTCTTTTCACCCTCTGTCTGAAGCCAGAGCCCAATCTGCTCTGATTGGTTAACTGGCCGGCTCTGTTGCGATTGGTCAACCGCTAAGAGATGTCCCGTCCCCAAAGCCTATCACGATTAATATGTTTGAGCGCTAGCCAATACAAGTAATGTCCATTTACATGCACAAAAACCTATAGAACACACTTCAGGAAAGGGAAAACCCAAATAAGTATAATAAGCCCTTTACGTTTTTTTAATCAACTTGGAATTAGAAACGGAGAACGAAATGAGTTTGGAGCTGCTCTGAAGCGCTCGATCATATCACACAACCTTCCTCTGCAGATAGAGCTTGTGGTGACGCTGTTGTGCTCATCATTCAGATTATTTAACACCCAATTGTCCATCACGCTGGATATTTTTTTGTCATAAAAATATTGTTTTAAATACAGTGGTATCAATGTCAGCCTGCATGTAGCCATAGCTAGTACCTGGCTGTCAAAAAGGGTCATACACAAACTCCGACTACCTTTTTCACTGACGATTTGTAATGCTCCTCCTCATCTTCTGTCATTGGCTTTAAAAAAAAAAAGTATTAGATCAAATATATGTATTCCCTCCCAAACAGATTTGACTATTTCTGGGTTTATTTATTCCCTTTTTAGATCTGCATGGAGATCCATCCTAAAGTGTGTTGCTTAAATAATTTCCTGCATGTTCTTCAGTGGTTCTCAACTGGTCAGGCCTCGGGACCCACTTTTTACTTGGTCAATACATTGCGACCCAACATTTTGAAGCACTCAAATCTATTCAACAAAAAAATCGAGCTGTAATATATACGCTTTTCAGCATACAATATTAATAAAAGTGAAGTACAGTGCATATATCCCTTCACAGAACTAAAGTAATGCTTTTAAAAAAGGTTTTAAATGAGATGATGGAATCAAAGACTGAACTA